AAGTTCCCTTCGCTTTCTCTCTTTTCCTCTTCCCCATTTTCAGCAGATTTTAATTGTCCATTCCCTAACTCAGTGATCCTCAAATTTAAGCAAATATTGGAATCACTGAAGAAAAACTCATATTTCATGCCCCACTTCCAGAGTTTCTGCTGCAGAAGGTACAGGTTGGGTTTTAGCAATTTGTATTTCTCACCAACTCCCAGGGGCTACAGATTGGGGCGCTCTAGACCCTGTGTTTGGAGAATGACTCCTAAGATCTACATGGAATTGCTCTGTTCTCATAGCACTTCTGTCACAATGAAAAGCAAGTGCTTTTGTCTGTTTCAAAACAATCTTAAATGTTGCCCTCACCTTACTTTGACACTACCCAGAGGACTGTGACCAACCTGGCATAGCCTCTGAGCCTTCTTCATGTGGCGTAACCTTTGACTTAAGTTCCCCAATCCCATCCCTAGCACCAACTCAGCTGTGCTATGGTTTGCACTGAATTTAGTCTGTTATATTAGAGAGCTCAGATTCCAAATTAATATGTATAAGTGAGTTTTTTTTTTAAGAAAAAGGAGCATAAGCAAATATCTTACATGCTACACATGTATTTGTTAATTTAACATAAAGACTATTACTATTCATCTATTTAAAAAAAAAAAAAAGGTTGCCATTTGCAGTGAGATCGGTAGAAATGGAGGCAATGGTGCTAAATGGGAAAGTCAAAAGGAAAAATACCAGATGGCGTCACTAGTGTGGAATACTGAGGAGCAAAATGAAGGAGCAGACAAAAACAAACCAGAGAAACCCTAGAAACCTGACCGTAGATTAGCGACTACAGGAGGTTTGGTGGGCAGTGAGGGCAGGCGCCCGATGGACTGTGGGAAATACTGTGTGTAATGAGGTACCCTGGTTCTGAAGACCTTACCTATACGGGTACAGGAAACAGAAATACAGAAGATGGTGTTGAATAACTACATTAGAAGGTATGAAAGCTGATACTATTAATTACAATCATAATAGCTTCCAGACACTGCTGCCTTATGAACTGCTCTGATCAAGTCCCTCTCCCTTACTTGGTTTCATAGCCTATCTCTCCCCATACTTGAATTTCCTTCTAGTTCATTCTCACCACAGACTGAAAGTGTCCAAAGTCTAAGATGCCAGTCTAGCAGAGCACAGAGCACCAACCTGAAGCTGAAGGTAGAGTTCTGGAAGAAAGGAGGATTGTCAAACTTGTTGAGAGACAGGCAATCTTGAATGTCTTTTAAGGTTGGCAATTTCTCGTTGTTTCTGCCCACTTGATTTCTTCTCAGCAAACCTTCATAGGTGCCATTGCATAGCGTGACGTGCTGGTTGTAGTCATCTAAGCTAAGATTTGTAAGAAAAGTAAAAATAGAGAAACCAAACAAAGGATCCACTAAGACAAGCTTCAGAACTAACCCTTGAACGCAGATGCTGGAACTGAAGCATCCAGGGAGGGAGGGGGAGAAGTGAGGACAGAGGAAAGGCAGAGGGTAAGCTGTGGTGGTGCACCACAGGGTAACAAGGGGGCAGGAACCCCCTCCCCCTGACAGCACCTGAAGAAAGGCGCCTGTGCTTCCATACTACCAGGCATGACTTTAGTAAAAATAAAGGCGGGTCCTCCCTGCACCTTGTTACAGTGCAGCCTTGCGAAGCTGCTGCAGCTATTTTGGTGCGAATTCAATACCTGGCCCCGGAGGTGACCCACAGGGCGCAGCAGACCTCTCCTGTCTCCCCCGCTGCTCCCCTCAACAGTGTACTTCATCAGTCTGTCTGCTCTGCTCCCCACTTTGACTCTGGTGAATCCTCTCACCAACCCCCTGCACCCCAGTTTTGTATGCACCAATTAATTTTTTAAATCATTAAAAAAAGAATCTACTTAAAAAGAAAGTTATTTAAAAACTGCAAAATTTCGATTTTCACCAAAAAAAAAGAAAGTCTTGATTTGTAGTAGATAATTTCTTAACTTTAGGCCAAGCAAACCAGTCAGGGCAATAGACTCAGACTACATAGTAATATTATATAAATTATATATATATATAAAACTTTGCCTACTAAACGAATGGAGAAGGCGATGGGGGTAAAATCCCTTTTGGTGGGGCTTTCGAAGCATCACAAAGGACTCTTGTCA